GACGCAATATCGAGGCTTATCCTTCGTGTGTTGAAACCAACTCCGCTTTCTATCTCTAGCAATAGCAAACACAAGTGTGGAAGAACTCCTCCTTTGCCTCTTCAAACTCATAAAAAATCAGGTACCTAAACTCGTTAATTATTTCGAAATCCATCTATATAATTATTATATTTTTCACTTTTGATTAGCATGCGCGATCTTGTTTGTCTTCTAGAAATTTTCAGTGGTTAATTTCTTTGTTGTATACCATTTAAATGCGAATAATTTCTGCTGTATAGCAAGAGATTTCGGCGAGCATGAATCAAAGTGGATATACTGTGGAAGTCACTGGACTCTCCCCCAAAGCCACGGAGAAGGACGTTTTTGATTTCTTCGCTTTCTCCGGTGCCATTGAGCATATGGAAATCATCAGGTTCTGTAAACTGTTTTGAGTTCAATACAACCATCAATCATTATGAATTCGCTTGTTTTTGGATTGTGATTTTTTGTTCGTATTTCCATGGGTCTTGTTCTTGACTGGAGTTTGATGTTGCTATGGTTGATTTTGCACTTTTGCAAGTTTATCTATGCAGTTTTCAATTTAATGATTAGCAAATAAATAAAGGGTTTTTTCTAATTTGTGCCCTAAATGTGCATTTTTGTATGGAAAATTACCAAAGTAATTTTTTTTTTTTATGCAAATTAATGGTGAAAAGGTGCAATATAAATAGTGTGTGTCATTTGATTGTTAGAATTTCAATTGAAGATAAGGAAATTTACAATTTGAGTTTGAACAAGACATGAATTTAATTATAGACCTTCTGAGGACGGTCTTGAAATGTTGACTAACACATATAACATCTTGATTGGGGAAATGCGAGGGTATGTTATTATAATGTCAAAGATTTATTTTCTTTTATAGGGTGGAGACTATGTTGATTGCTGCTTTAGACTTTAACTAAGTTGATAGGATGAAAATATTTTCATTATGAAAGCTGAAGTACGAGATTCTTCCTCCTCTTTGCATGTAACATTACTGCAAATTTTATATTTTTGTTGATTAGTTGTCTTGCTTTATTCTTTCTTGAAAATTGTTCAAGTATGGAAGGCAGATTCTGAGATCTCATTATTTAACTTAAAGCAAAAGAAGTTTCTATTTTGCGTGACATGCTCTGACTTCTAAAATAGCTCTGAAGGTTTTTCTACCTTGGAAGCGATTTTCTCCACCATGGTTGAAGCGGCTTAGGGGCACTGGCATATGGCTTTTTCTGGTCGCATGATTTTAGGGGAACAGATCCGTGATGTTTGGGATTTGATCTCCAATATTTTTGCGCAAAAAATCAGGAGGATAGCTTTGATTTTGATTTGTTTCCTATTTTGGAGCTATCTTCTTGTAATGAGGTTTTGACCCCAATTTTTTAGTTTCTTAGCTTTGTTTTGGGGTTTATAATTTTTTGGGGTTGGGACTAACTCAAATTGCTCATTTAGTTTTGTAGAGCTATGATAGCCTCTTATGGGACTAGTTGGGATTTTGAGGTGATCATATCATGCTCTGCTATACCCCCTACTATACTGAGTATACTCCTAATTATTAATGGTATTTGCTTTCTCATTAAAAGGAAAAAAATGTAGGTTATCTTTTATTAGGTGAAAGGTATTTTAATTGCTACTTTAGACTAACGTCCCTTTTAATGGAAAAATTTCTTATTCTAAAGCAAAATGATTAAATTTTGATGTTTTGTTTCACCCCTATTTTTCTGTGTTGTGCTAGTTTTATCTTCTTGTGAACTCGTTTTCCCACTTTGAGACTTTCTTGGGGACTTTGATTTTCTTTATGTTTCAGTCCTAAAAACTTTGAAGTTATAAAATTCTGTTATGTTCAATTCAACCTTAGCATCTTTTATCTACTACAATAACTTTACTACTCCCTGTAATTGTTGGGGTAATTCTGTAACGCGAGTTTGTAACTTTCAAGATTGTATATTGAGTTTGATTTGATGTACAGAATGGTCAAATAAGTCATTATGTTGCATAACAATTGTCATTCTTTGGTTATATGGTCTTGTAGCTTACTTACGTGGTTCTACATGCTTAAGTGTTCTGTTGTTCTGTTTGTTTTATTATGAAGCTAGGATTTAGGTGATTTAACAGTAGTATTATGGTATGTGCTTTGTGAGTTCTTTTTTCTAATGTGTGTAGATGTGGTGTTTTGGATAGAGCAGATCTGGTGAATATGCAAGTACTGGCTATGTGACATTCAAAGATGCTTATTCTCAGGAGACTGCTGTCTTACTCAGTGTAAGTATTTATTTTATTATTTGTGAGGAGAAAAAGAATGATTTATGTGATAATTGGATTCCTACTCTTCTCTGGTTGTCGTTTACGTTTAATATGAGAATCGATAATTTAGTTATGTGCTGCTTTCAACCGTTCTCGGCCACGAGTGATCTTGTAAATGCTTTTGTTGCAAATTGAAGTGGTAAATTTGTTTAATGGTAACTTTGTAAGAAATAAACCTTGAATCTTTCTCCAGTGAATGCTGTTGTTCATCTTTGTTGTAGCAGCTCAATTTTTGGAATACATGTTTTGAAGTAGATATCAGATATGAAGGTCCAAGTTGAAGAAACCAAAATATAACATTTTTGTACATAAAACCAAAAATTCATTCTGCCCTCTATGTTGTGAATTGTAATTTTGATGATAATTGTCTTGTCAATTTTGCTACACTTATATTCCTTCCTTCCCTCCCTCACTTCCTTTTGAACCAAACAGACTTTGGGCATATGAATTAATAGTCCACACTATTGAGTTGGATTTTTATTTTTATAAAATGCATTCCTTCTTTGTTAATTTATTGGATAAAGTGGTTTAGTTCCTCTGTTTTCCACATTCTAATTTCTACGCATACCATTTTGGCATGGTATCATGACAATTTCTTGGTTGATTTTTGGTCCCTTTTATTTATTTATTATTTATTTATTTTTTTACTGTCCATAAACATGCCTAAACGTTTTAGGTTTATTTATTTATTGTCTGCACCTTTGGTATACATGGTTTTATCAATCAAATTCATTAAATCAACACTTTGCTTATGCTAGTTCAATCTCAGAATATCTATTTTTGATAAAACTGTTAATATTAATGTTCATTTTGAACCATCATTCTCCCAAGGCCCAAAAAAAAAAAAGAAAAAAAGAAACTGTCATCCTCCCATTATGACTGTATTGTAACATTAATGTATGTGCTGTTCAAAATCTTGTTATCATAGGGTGCTACCATTTTAGATCAGCGTGTATGTATAACAAGGTGGGGGAATTATGAGGATGACTTTGACTTTTGGAACAGGCCTTCAAGGGGGCTTGAAGATGAAAGAGATTCAACTGTATGCAACATCTATTCTCTGTCTTACCATTAAATTGATATTTTTGTGGTGATTTGATATGTTATTGCAAAATCAGATTGGTAACATCATTGTTTTTTGTGCTTTTGGGTTTCACAGCCTCCACAAAGAATCCAATTACCTACTGCTGGAGAAGCAGTTTCAATGGCTCAGGATGTTGTCAAGACCATGCTTGCTAAGGGATATGTACTAGGAAAAGATGCTTTAACCAATGCAAAGGCCTTTGATGAGTCCCACCAAGTTTCAGCTACTGCTGCAGCTAGAGTTGCTGAACTGAGTGAGAAGATTGGCCTTACTGATAAGTTCTGTGCTGGAGTTGAGGCTGTGAGATCTGTGGATCAGAGGTACCAAGTCTCAGAGACCACCAAATCTGCCATTTCAGCAGCAGGAAGAACAGCTGCAGCTGCTGCCGAATCTGTGGTTAACAGCAGCTACTTCTCTAGAGGCGCACTTTGGGTATCAGATGCTTTAAATCGTGCAGCCAAAGCTGCAGCGGATATGGGCAATCGTGGTCTTCAGCATTAATGCATTTGGGTAACAGAATATCTGCCGTTGATCTTGTATACAAGAATGTTTTAATGTGTTCATCTTTAATATTACTGTGGAGTTGAGACTAAAACACTTGATTCTAAGGAGAGAAAGTAAAGTAGAAAAGGAGAAAGATTGCACCTTTCGCTGTATATAAGAATATATCATCACTAATGCAAATCATCTCTTTTGAAATTTAAATACTGCAATTGCAAAGCCTGGTTCTAATGCAAATCAGGTTCTCTGGTTAAAATAAGTGTATTACTGTTGTTATCGGTTTAATCCAAATCATGTTTGATGAAATATGTTTTAACTTCAATGGCCAATTGTATGAAAATATACTTATTTTATATATTTTGTTTGATCTTATGATGAGTGGAGAGGGATTTCAAAAAGATAAGATTATTTGATTTTTTTTTCCTTTGCATGAAAATCATATAAAGAAACCAAATGAGGAAAAATTGGTGGAATGGTTTGATCATTCCAAATTAAATCAAGAATTTATTGATATAAATTGGATTAAATCAGATCAAGAAATCAAATTAGGAAAAATAGATAGAATAATTTGACCAATCCAAATTAAGTTGATAATTTACAGATTTACATCAGACTAAATCTATGAGATAATGATTTTAATTTGAAATCAAATTTTCTTGAAACCAACCAATTTTGGTTTGAATCTAAAGTCAATTCACACAAGTGGATTGAGACAAAATCGCACCTTTGCTTAACATTTTTTTTAATATATTGGTTTTTTTTAACATATATTGCAAGGGCAGGTTTTGAACCCTACTGGTGGAGGGGGAATGCACCTGATTATGCCACTAGGTCTCAAGGGTCAGTGCTTTTTAATATATTGGTTGCACATAAAAAAATTTTAACATTTTATTTTACCTCATTCTCATATCATGTAACTGAAACTTAAAATTGTAAAAGCGATTATTATTATTAATTAGATAATTTATCACCTTTGCTTAACTTTTTACAAGCGAGTTTGACAAAATCCAGCCGGCCTTATGGACCAACCAAAATGTTGTCGGCGCACATAAGCTGTTCCCCCTTCCCCACAAAAGCATTCCTTCGCCTTGACTCCACTATCCGGTTCGGCGGTTCCCACCGAATCTCCCGGTCCACTCGTTCGAATCAACGGCCATGGTTCGACATTCCAATGTGATGTCACTTTCCGTTGATGTCACGTTTGTTCTTATGTAGAAAAAATCAGCCATCCTGTCGCCCTCATTTCCACCCTACACCGAAGATCTAAACCATCCAACATTCATCAACGGTGATAAAGAAAACAACCGCATCACTCTTGACGCAGACGCACCGTACCAAACGTAGTTCTGAATCCGTGTACAGTCTCACCGCAGAAAATCAGAATCCTCCATACCCGCCCAAATTTGAGCTTTTTATGTTTTTGATCTCTTAGTTCTGCAAACCTAAAATCAGATCCACAGTGACGAAGGGGAAATTGGTGATTTTGTTTTTGTGGATTTTTTTTTTTGGGAATTATTTAATGTAAAAAGCGAATTGAGTTAATAGAACAGAGACATGGCGGGGAGGAGTGAGGCTGTGTCGATCAAGGTTCCGTATAGGAACCTTAGGAAGGAGGGAGAGGTGGATATGGTGGATGAGCCTAACCATCGGATCAGTCTCAGTTCGTCGCCTGATTCCCCTCTTCCGTCGTCGTCGTCGTCTCCGATCGAGGTTAGATCGGAGCAGCAGTGTAGCTTGATGATTCTCATCCTCGGTTGTACGGTGGCGGCCGGGGTTCAATTCGGTTGGGCCTTGCAGCTGTCGCTGTTGACTCCGTACATTCAGGTTCAGATTTTGTTCTGCAATTCTTGATTCGTGTTGTGACCATGAGTTAGGTCATTTTGTGAGCAATGCTTGGTAATTAGATAATTTGAGAAATTGAATGGACCAATAATTGTACAGAAGGCAATGTACTCTAACTCTGTTTTCTTTGAAATTGCATGCAATTAATGGGGCTGATGCTTTTTTTTTTTTTTAATTTATTTAAATCATATTAGCCAAAACTTTTGATGTGGGTAGAGCAGGAACGATCGGCTTCCTGCAATTTGTGACTCTTGATTTTGTAGGAAAGAAAATATTTCAAATTTTCTAGTTATTGTTTAATAACTAACACAATGGTCAAGGATTTTGTTGAGAATATCTTGAAAAATGTGGAACATGTTTATGGTTGAAAAGGGTGAGGTATTTCCACAGGTATTATAGTTTTCTAGGTTTAAAATCTTACAATCATTCTATGCTCACTGCTCTCAGTATGCACTTTGCAACAATAAAAATGATGGTATAAAGGCAGGTAACTCATCTTCTGTGGAATTGCAAGCTGGGGAAGGATATGGTGATTCTCTGGGAAACTGTTCTTATGACTACTCCCTGCCTCTCTAAAAATTCTCCTTTATCTAGACCAGATGCTTAACATAGTTTCTGTTTTTAATATAAGAAATTATTCTAGTTTCCTTTGATGATTTTCTCAAGTCGCCTTTTTTAGAATTTGAAGAATTTACCTTAACAATGAGAAATGAGCAATAGTTCTTGAATGTGGATTTACTGATGTTTGTTTAGCTAGCATCTCTTGTTCACGTCAACTGACAGTTTTGCTATTCTTTTTCTTCATCATTTATTTATTTCTTTATTATTTGTTTAGTTTGTTAATCTTTGCTCAAGCCATTTCAATGTTTATTTCTTTTCTTGACTGTTCTCCTTTGATTTCTTGATGCAGACACTTGGAATTGAGCACGCATTTTCTTCATTTATTTGGCTTTGTGGCCCTATAACAGGCCTTGTGGTATGTAGAAGCAAACAACTCCCTTCCCTCCATTTTTAAATTCTAGTCTAAGAGATTGTAGACTTCAGGATTTTATCTTAATTGCCAATAATGCTAAATGTTGTAAGTTTACAGATTTTATCTTAATTGTCAATAATGCAAACTGTTGTAAGTTTACATTTTAGTAGCCTTATCATTGTACTCTAATCTTTATGGATGTGAACCAGATCTAATTGTGTTACAGTTTTAACTGGATAAATTTTATCTAATAGCTACTTCACATGCTTTGAATGGTTTTGTTAGATTTCGTACCCAGTACAATATCCTTCTATTAAGTCTTTATGATTTTGAACATATTTGAGGAATCTGCCTACTTTGATCTTATGGCTTGCTTGGGTCAACAAAAGAAAGGATTTAGGGTTAGAAGACATAAGTGGGATTTGGAAATGATCTCAGGAGTAAGTGTAGAGGGCTTATGACAAAGCAAGAGGGTTTCTATTTTCTCTTTTAAGTACTAGTTTGTACTTATTAAGGTTTGGCAGCTGAATATGAATTGAGGTTATTGTTTCCAAAAAACCTAATTCTTTTCTTATTTTCTCATCCTTGCTTTGCCATGTAAGTACAAGTTTGTTTTAGGATTAAGCTGTGAAGATGAATTGAGAATTTGAGATTATTGCTTCCAAAAGCCTAAGTCTGTTTGTTTGTTTCTCATTCTTGATAAATGTCTGGAATGCCATGATTCAGTAAACTAAAATGCTTCGTGATTTTATATATTGGGACTCAAAAACTATTATCAGAATTCTTGGTGTATTCCTTAAGTTGTTAGGATCATGATACTAGATAGGAAATCTAGTAGTAAAGACAGATAATTAGGAGTGCAAATTTGGTGTGGATAAGCCAAGAGCTGACCAGGTTGGGTCAGCTTGGTTAAGTTTGATTCTTGTAACTTGTTTCTTGGTTCCATTTTACGTTCTATTTCTCTAGACTGTCTTGCCTGGGAGCTCTGGGTTGGATTTATGCTTCTAATCTTCACACAAAGGAAATCTCATCCTTTACACCCCCCCCCCCCCCCACCCTTTTTTTAGGCAAATCAAATTTCAAATATAAATAGATAAAAGACTTGTCCTGCATTGAAAAGATGAGAACACTAACCTAAAAACTTACAGTTAAAGGAATATACCTGGCTCTCCTGAAAGCATGTTTAACCTTAACTGCAGTGAGTATGCTCAGATGAAGATGGCATATTATTTTGATTGATTGAAAGGAATTGACGGTACGGTGGGCAGTTTGTGCTATGCTGGAGTTGTCTACAATGGTGTTCCCTTTTTTTTTTTTTTTTATAAAGAAAAAAGATAAATAACTCAATAATTATTGTTTTCTAAGTTCCAATGCTTCTTAAAGTTGTCTTTTATTTCACTTGTTATGCACTACAAAGGTCTCATTGCTGATCCAAGTCCTTCTTAATGGAATTTCTCTTTGCCATGAATATGGTAGTGCAATTAGCTACAGATTGTCATGGCTCAACTAATTTAGAAAAAAATTTTGCACCTGATTAGCTATTTCTCTTCTATCATAGGTTCAACCTTGTGTTGGTATCTGGAGTGACAAATGCACTTCAAAATTTGGAAGAAGACGACCTTTTATTGTTGCAGGGTCTCTTATGATCTCAGCTGCCGTAAGCTCTGAGAACCATATTTTCACTTGATTAAAATTTAGTATGTTATGTTTATCATGTCAGCTAAAGTAAGTTTTGCATTTAGGTGATAATAATCGGATTTTCTGCAGACATAGGGTACATATTGGGTGATACAAAGGAGCATTGCAGGTTTGTATTACCCTCTTTTTCTTTCTTGTCGTACATCGGACATGTAAAAAAATAGGTTGATGAAATGATTTACTCAATGCAGTACATTTAAAGGTACACGGACGAGGGCAGCTTTTGTTTTTGTTATTGGGTTTTGGATGTTGGATCTTGCAAACAATACAGTGCAGGTAAGCTTGTCAGAGCTTCTCTTTTTCTTTTTTTCTTTTTTTTTTTCCTTTTCTTTTTTAACATTTACCATTTTATATATGATAAAATAATCATACTAATTCTTTTTTGGAAAAAAAAAAATAGGGACCGGCTCGTGCCCTTTTGGCTGATCTTTCAGGTAAGCACTCTTTCTATCGTCCTTCTAAAGAAAATTACCAGAAACATGTCATGTGCATATGGAGTTGATGGCATTCTTTTATCTGGAAGTTACATATTTTGTTTACCAGTCCTGATTCTGTTTTTTAATGCGTGATAATGTAGTTTGAATATTTTTTAGGTCCTGAGCAACGAAATTCTGCAAATGCTGTTTTTTGTTCGTGGATGGCAGTAGGAAACATCTTAGGATTCTCTGCTGGTGCTAGTGGGAGCTGGCACAGGTGAAACCTTTGTTTTTATGTCTCTTTTATAATGTGTTTTGTTGTATTGAAGCATTTATGAACATACGTAATGGTACAATTATTTGGGTGGTGTTTTGTCTCATTGTCAAAATATTTGAAAATAAAAACTTAAAACTGAAAAAGGAAACTGAAAATTTAAATTGACAACTTCTTTGGTTGAGTTTGGACTGAACATAGATATAGGAAATTTATTTGGTTGCTTTTTTCTCTTTTTTGTCATAATTATTCCATAAAGTTTATGTGGAGATGTCTAACAGTTAAAGATACACAACATTTTGATTTTTAGTTACTGCAGTAAATTATTGGGGTAATTTATTTGTCCTGCAAATATTTGTTGCAGATGGTTTCCTTTCTTGAAAAGTAGAGCTTGCTGTGAAGCCTGTGCCAACCTCAAAGCAGCTTTTCTTGTTGCAGTTGTGAGTTGAAATTTTCATGGCATAAACCTTTCAAGTCTCTGTAGTAAATTTTTCTGATGGGTTTTAAACTTTTAATCAAGTACATTTAATTTTGTTAATCAAGTACATTTAGTTTTGTCAGCTTTGTTCTTTATGCGAATAATTTTACATGCTAAATGCTTGTTCAAGTAAATAGTGCTGAATGAATCCTGAATTCACCTGAGATCAATAATGTTAAATGTCATAAGCTTTGACTGCTTTATGTGCACCATAGACCACATTTATATCCTGATGTCTTTTAACACTGAAACTATTTCCATTGGATGGTCATTTATTTCTATTGAGAGGACATAGAGAGATGCAATTTGTTTCTAATATTTTAATCAACTGTGAAGATTCATTATATAACTTCTCTGAACTTTGGGTCTTTCTTCAGTATCTTGTGCATGTATGATGGCATGGTGCCTTGGCCTATAATTATCTTCTTATGTTTAAATGCCAATTTGTGCCCTTGTTCTGTGTGTTTTCACTGTCGCTATTTTGGTGCATTCTTATGTGCCTCTAAAAGCTTATTTGGCATATGCAGCTCTTCCTGGCATTGTGTACTCTTGTGACTGTATATTTTGCTAAGGAGGTTCCAATATCTGCACCTGAGCAGCCAATTCGTTTATCAGACTCAGCACCTTTGTTGGATGATCCAACACAAAATGGTGTTGAACTGTCAAAATTAAAACATGATATTCCAGTTGTTACCAGTGCCAATGTGAATGGTTCTGAGAATGGCTACGAACAAGATATAACCCCAAAGCATGTGAACTCTAAAGATGTGAATGATCAAAGTGCAGTTTTCAGCGATGGGCCTGGAGCAGTATTAGTCAATTTGTTGACCAGTTTAAGGCATTTGCCATCTGCAATGCACTCAGTACTTATTGTTTCAGCTCTTAGTTGGGTAAGTGTTTTTGTAATTATGTGATGCAGTCAATGTATAATCCTTGGAGAACTATTTTACTTTTTGTGATTATTTCAAATTTTGACTAGTTGGGCAGTTAGGATAGTATTAATTAGGCTATTTAGTATATTTAGGCTTCATTTAGTATGGTTGTAGTTTTGAGTTTTTGGTTTTGATTTTCAAAATTCAAAAAATCAAAATTGAAAATTAAAATTGCCAACTTATTGGGTATAAAATATTAAAACAAATACTCAAAACTCCAAACTTAATTTATAGAACTAAATTTTATTCTAGGATTTGTAAATTTTTGAAAACCAAAACTACAAACTCAAAACCACAACCATACTAAACGGAGCCTTAATTTATGATTTATTTTCTTTTTTCTGTCAGGATTCAATTAGAGGTAATTATGTTTTTATTAAGGCACCTTAGTAGACTGGTATTTGGGTTTTCGATTCTATGCTTTAGGTTTATGTGATATTATCCCATGATTGACAATTACCAATGTTAATGCTTCTTCTATATTTCCTGCTAGTTTCTTACCCTGTCTGTCTTATTCCTTTCCCCCCCACCCCCTTTTCTCCCTTATTTTCTTGTTTACCATCCTTTTCTCTACATTTCTCTCTTTATCTCAGCTCTCTCCTTATGCATCAGTGTGCCTGAGCTTAACATTGTTTCTACCCTTGTGATTCCTTTATATTAATTAAAGACAATAACCTTTTGATTGATAGTAGAAGTTATGCATAGATATTGTTTCTACATGATGGTCGTGAAAAGGCTCAAACACCCTATGCAACCTCTGCATTTCCTTCTTTTTTTCTCAGCTTCCACCTTAAAGTGGTATTAAAAAGGAAAGAAAAAGAAAACAATCATTTCTTTTGTTTTGATTGCAATGTTGCTTTTCATGCAGCTGTCCTGGTTCCCCTTCTTTCTATTTGATACGGATTGGATGGGAAGAGAAGTATACCATGGAGATCCAAAAGGGGATTTTTCTGAAGTGAAGTTGTATGATCAAGGTGTCAGAGAAGGTGCTTTTGGTTTGCTATTGAACTCTGTAAGAACTCAAAATTTACACTAGTAGTTTGATATAGACACTTTTAAAACATTTGTCTGGGCGAAACAAAGATGAACTTTCTGTACTTGAGGGCTCTGAGTGCTGATATCTTCTTTATTCATTTCTTTTATGGTTATTGTGTTCAGGTTGTTCTGGGCATTAGTTCTTTCTTAATTGAACCAATGTGTCAATGGATGGGAGCAAGACTTGTCTGGGCTATGAGTAACTTCACTGTCTTTGCTTGCATGGCTGTCACTGCTGTCATTAGCTTGATATCTGTCCTTGAATATTCTCAAGGAATCCAACATGTAATTGGAGGGAATGAAGCCATAAAAATTGCTGCCTTGATTGTTTTCGCTCTGCTTGGCTTTCCTCTAGCTGTATGTGTCAAGGACTTGAAGTGTATTTCTATATTCTTCAAATCTTGTTTCCAACCCAAAAGGTTATTTCCTTTCTTTCTTTTTTTTCTTTTTTTTTTTAATTCCATTTTTTTTTTGTTCTTGCAGATTACGTACAGTGTTCCTTTTTCCGTAACAGCTGAGTTGACTGCTGATTCAGGTGGCGGCCAAGGTTTGTCTGACAATTTTTTTTTCCTTTAGTGTTTGATTCCACCTATTTTATTTACCAGATTTGGAAACTTTTCTGACAAATTTGTACACTAATGTAGGGTTGGCAATAGGGGTATTAAATCTTTCAATTGTCATTCCACAGGTATTTAATTGCTTTATTTCTTATTTCTTACTTTCTGTGATTTCCTTGGTAGTTATGTTCCTGTTTTCTATTTTGGAATATTGTTATCTCTGTGTGCTTGTTTCCTTATAATTAAGTGGCATTTTTAAATAAAGTTGTGTGCTTTTTTTATGCCCCTCAAATAAAAATTATAAAATTATGCTGTAATTTTATTTTTGTAGAGCAGTGGATGATGGTCTATGATCTTGCATCAGGAAAGAATTCACATCATTTATTTTTTTCACCATTATCACAAATATTAGTGCTTTGATAAGGCTCTAAAAGGACTAGTTTTTATTTTTACATCCAATTTTCTATACATGTGTATTTGCATGTCCGAAAATAATCCTTAATGGTCTGTTTTTCTGGTGCAATAAAATGAAATACTTTTACTTGAATTTGATTTTAACACATAGTAAACTTATACATTTATGTGCTTGTAATGTGTTGATTCAATTAAAGCTAATATGTCTACTGCATATTCATTTCTCTAGATGATTATATCCCTTGGTGCGGGTCCATGGGATGCTCTATTTGGTGGAGGAAATATACCTGCCTTTATTTTGGCTGCTTTCTGTGCATTAGCAGCAGGCATTATTGCTATTCGAAAGCTTCCAGATCATTCTAGCAGTTCCTTCAAGTCATCTGGTTTTCATTTTGGCTGATGAGCCAAGCTATCTTTGATTTGGTGACAACTGACAACCATGGAAATGCTGTCTGCTGCTTTTGAACATCAGGCCCTGCCACTACTTGTACGTATAATTTTAATATAGAAACATGTGCGAATTACATACTAAAATTCATTCATTTTTTCCCCACCTTGGGGGAACATGTACCTTGTGTAGAGTGTAAATTGCCAATTATTATATTGAAAATGCTTATACATTCAATAACATTTAGTGACCTCCTACGTATACTAGAAGCTCTTAATTATCAATATATATTTATTTTCAAAACATCATCCAATTCTGATTGTCATTTTAGTTGCAGAATTGTATATCTATTGTTATAGGTCTTGCGTTGTTACCAAGTATTCATGTTGTGGATTTGTCAAATTTACTTGTTATAGGTCCTGCATTGTCGCTAAATATTCACGATGTGGATTTTGTCAAGCTTACTGGGTTCCTTGGCTCTTCAAGCTTATTATTCTTCACGATATCTTTGTAGTGTCATGGCGTTATTCAAATCAGAAAATCGGAATGGTAGATTAGACATTGATTTCATGTTGGAGGTAGCATGAACAGAAAATTCTGTACTAGGCTGCTACTCCTAGCTTTATGGATGGGATGTGCTGATTCTGTAATGGTGGATGGCTTGTTCCTGACCTTGAGGCAGTGTGCTAGATTAATATTGTTGTGGTTTTCCCACAAGTATTCTTGTCTGAGTCTTTGGACACTAACATCCATCCATACTCAACTTGTTCTGACGGCTAAACCTCACTTGTAAATCATGGTAAAAACTTTTGACCATAGGTGCCTTGTGCTGAATCTCTTGATGCAGAACACTAACAATCTTTGAGCTCTTATAATATTCACATTTTTTTTCCATTTTTGTTACCTCGGAAGTGAGCTATCTAGCAATTTAAGGTTTGAAGGTTTTATAGTTTAGCAGATTACACTCGTTGGTTCTTCTTTGTGATTTGATGGTGCGCTCATTTTATTTCTTAATGATGAAATTAGTCGAGATCGTGCAATATGTTGGTTATCATCTGACTGATGTATCCATGCTGCTCTATGAATAATTACCTGGCAAATTTTCGGTATACCATTTTCTTCCTTGATTTTTTTTTCTTTTTTTCCCAATTCGGTATACCCTGTAGCCCGCACAAGATTATGTTGAGATTTGGTTTTTCATGCCTGTTTCTATGTGGGAGAAGATGACAGTTAATCTTTTGTAGAAACATAATTAGAATCTAGTGCAACCTTTGTGCTTGTTTAGTTGGTGAAATGGTTATTTTTTGGTCAAATTATAGAAAGGGAAATTACACTTAAGTTTCCTGTGATTTAGGATGAATGCATTTAAAAACCTGTGGTATTAAGATGTGCACTTAAAGATTTGTATTTTGAAATAAAAGTGATAAAACACTTTTACTATTAAAAACTTAATAGAAAACTTTATTTTTTATTTTAATTTCTCTATTGCTCTTCTTGTTTAACACCACTATCTTGCCTTGCGCTAAAAATTGAATTGTAGTTCGTTTGATTCATTAGAATCACTTACAGTATGATCATTTCTTGACAATTCATTACCATTTATCTATCAAAATACATAACAAAATGCTAATAATTAATTAATTTATTCATTTTAATTAACTACATTCAAGCTACTTGCGAAATTCAATTAAATAAAAAAAATTAAGTCACACATGTATAAAATATTTATAATTAACATGTACTATTAAAACTAAGGGTGTTCGTGGTATGGTTTGATTCAAATTTTAATAATTTTTAAACCAATCTAATTTAATCGGTTAATAAAATTTTAAAATCAATTCAATCTACTATTATATAATAACCAAACCAATTTAACTTAAATTGGATCAGTGTGGTTCGGTTGGATTGATCGATTTTTAACATTATTAAATATATGAAGTAATGTAAAAATGCTTTAACATCAAATAGAAAACATAACTATAAAACACATTAACACACAAATTAGTAAAAAACATAATAAAAAATACAAATTATAAACTAGTTCTTATACTACTTTACATTTGTAAAAATTGAAAAGATCTGAAAATTCTTTTTGGTTATACCACTAAAGGCACCAAAAACAATAAAAGATGACTTCAAGTTTCTAATACAGTGTAAATAATTCTTAAAGATTAAAATTAGTTTTTTTTTTCTTAATGCACTAATAATTTCATCTAATTTTCTAAATCCCGTTAAAAGTGAATAAAATTTAACATGAATATTCACTAAAATTTATTAGAAGCATTCATAATTAAAATTTAAAACTTCTAAACCAAATATCCAAAAATAATAGAATATTAAGACTAATTTTATTGTATAGTTTTAAGATTTTTAAAATGATATTTATTTAAAACTTAATTAAGAGAATCATAAATTTATTTTAACAATAAATTAGAAATTTAGAATTCTAAGAGTAAATGTGTAAACCAGTTTTGAGGAGATAGAGTTGCAAGTGAATTAGAAATTTAGAATTAGAATTAGAGTATATGATTAAAATCAGAAAATAACTTATGGAGTATGGAGATGTTTTATTTTTATTTTTTAATTAAGTTAATAGAGTTATTATCTTGTAAAATAAGAAAAAGAAATTTTAAAATACTACAAAAAAATATATTATATTATTTAATTAAGATATCTTATAAGCGGATTTTATTTTGTAATCGTGTAATTTGGGCGGTTTGAAGGTAACATTTACAAACCAAACCAATTACATTGGTTTTAAAATTTTATAATTCAAACCAATCTAATTTTTTATCGGTTTGGATCGGTTTTTTATTGGATTGGATCAGTTTAGCTTGGATTAATCAGATTGGATCGGATATGAACACCCCTAATTGAAACTAATTAAAACTAAATATGCATAAAATCAAGAATATATTATTTACAATTGTAGATGATCAAGGTAAAACCCTTCAATTTTCAAATGAAACGCTCACTTTTTAAATCCTAAAAAATTTCTAACCGAATACAAAAATGTCAATAAAAGAAAATTGGAAACAAAATTTCACTTTGGAATATAAAATACAATAAATTAAAGATTTTGTTCGATTACTTGTAGAGAGTTATTTTGCTTGGTTTTCATCTTTACTTGAGTTGATCTTTGAAGATTGTTATGAAAAAAAGTTTGTGCAATAATTGAGCTTTTTCTCTGTTTTTTGTTTTTTAGATTAAGGGTATTTAAGATATTGCACATAATTTTAACATCATTTGGATGGCAGGAGTGGTTTAGTACTCAAGGTTCAAAACACAAGCCTTTAAATGCACATTTCAATACCACAAGCCTTTAAATGCACTCACCTTAAATCATAAGTAAGTTATGTGTAATTTTCTCTTATAATAACTAGGGGTGAGTATTTTTAGGTACAAGTCAACTATATATTATAATATAAAGGAAGAATATAGAGAAACAATAAAGCCTTTGTAGCGAATTTTTTTTTATTTCATCATATACAATCATACAAATTTATAAGCATATATTTAGGTTAAAGGAAAACTGAAGGTTATATTGGTTATTGAATGGTACTAAGTGGACTTCTGAGTATAACTAAGTGGAGCTATTAGAATGGAGTTAAGTGAAAATAGGCTATAAATGAAAAATAAAAGATGAAGGTGAAGGTACTATTCAATAACTTAATAGGCTTTAAAATTTTTTATAATAGAATGAATTATACTTGTTGGACTTGCTATTTATCCAACTATTGGAAGGCTTATACCCAATAAGTCAATAGGCATAAAGTAAGTTACAACTCTATTTATGTACTTGTTGAATAATATTTTGTTTTAAATTTTTATGCAAATTAAAATGCAATTATTGGAATTAAAATCTAATAACATTATTTTCTAGAATCTAAACTTAAATAAAAATTTAATTAAAATATTATCTATTGCAATCCAAAATTTTAAATATAATCTAAAATAACAACAGAAAACAAAAAAATAAGTATATTTGCCTCTGTTTTCATCTTTTTTCTTTTTCATGAAAATTTAGATAAAAAATCCAACATCTAGAACTCATCAAAAACTATCAGAAGCACAATAATATAAATAATAAGAACCATAACAAACAAAACAACTAGACGACTCACAGCCAGATTGAAAGAGGTGCTGCTACATGTATTTGGCTATTTTTTGAAAGACTTAAGTTTAAATAATGAAAGTTGAGAGACTATATTGTAAGAATGAAAGTTGCAATTTCAAAAAATAAATTTGAACAGAGGAAATAAATAATAAGTGAGTACTATTTAAATTTTGGTTTTTCTAATTTTTTTTATAATACATGTTAAGGTGTAATAATTATATTTTTTTATAATTATTTACATAAAAAATATAAAAATTGACTTTTATTTTACCACCATTACCACATATAAAATTTTAATTACCTAATTAAAATTCAAGTTGAGCAAATTTTTATAGTTAAACTACTATTAGAAGCACTTGCAACTTGGGCTGCTTTGGAGAAGTGTAAGGGAACCTGTGGTGAGATTCACCACTCACCATTATTCATGGTTTAAATCTGCAGGTTTAAACCACTATTGGTTAAAATCCCCCACAAAATATTAAACTATTACTGGTAGAATTCAGGCACATTTTACATTGGTTTCAAATGTCTAAAAAGTAATTTTATTATTTTATTATAAGCTTGGTTCAAATTGTAGAAAAGTTTGTAAAAGTATTTTTTTTCGTGGCCACTATGACTATATTTTCTTATGTAACTTTTGGTCGTTGTGGAATCCAAGAAGGATGGCGTGGAGTGGACGGTTGTGGTGAATGGGGCATACGCATGTCTCATCAGAAAAAGTTGAGCATGGCAATTAAATTAC